GCATGGGGCTTTCCCTGCTGGATGATCCGGACCTGACACCACGTGCGTGGGCTGTTCGCACACTACGGAGCGGCCGCTCCTTTCCTTTGGGTGTAGTTTAATCGTCCCTAGGCACAACTATCACCACGGGTATGTTTGTGCCCCCTTCCGTCTCGTCCCCCCACACTGTGAAATCCCAGAGACAAAGGAGGTGGTGATGGGGGATCACTTCCTGCCCCTCCACATGGAACCCTCACCCTGCTCAGCCCTCCCACAGCCACACAGATGTGAGATCCAGAGTCCCCAACCCCTTTCCCTGAGCTCCTCAAACCCAAACAGGGCTGCCCAGAGCCTCTCCACCCCCTCCCTGTCCCCAAACTCTCCTCCATGCCCCGGGCATCAACCCATTTTTGGGGTCTTCAGCCCCCTCTTACCTTGCTGCATGATCTCCACAATCTGCACGACCTTATCCATGTGCTTTCTGGCAGCAATGAGCCCCTGCAGCATCAGCATCTTGTAGTAGTTGAACATGTCCCCATCCAGCCCCCCCATCACCTGCACGGAGGGAGAGCAGGTGTGGGTGGAGGGCAGGTGGGAGAGGGACCCCAGAACAGCCCCCCTGGGTGCCACCCTGGGTGCCACAGTTCCAGCTGTGCCACGGTCCTCACCCCCTCCCTGCTCACTCACATCCACAAATTCCGTGGTGAGCTTGAAGGCAGAGGTCTCAAAGCCAAGATTCCTGGGGGAGCTGGAGAGGATGAACCCAAAATCGATGTGGATTATGTGTCCATCTGCATCCAGGAGGATGTTGCCATTGTGCCTGGGTGGGAGAGGGGAAAATTCCCATTAACCCTTCCCCTGGGAGCAGTAGTGGTCTCTGCTCCTGGATTTCCCAGCTGTATCCAGGGACAAAGTGATGAATCCTGGAAGAAGACACCCCTTGAGTGGAGACCCACCTGTCTTTGACCTGCAGCAGGTAGCACACCAGGCAGTACCCAGCACAGCTCTGCACAAAGTTCCTCTGCGCTGTCAGGAAGGATTCTGTGTTGTAATTCCCGTGTTCCTGCAGGAAATAATCCAGCAGGGAGAGCAGGGATTGCTTCTTGATTTGGTGGATGGACACAGCATTCACCACGGGCTCAATCATGCCACTGTCGGCGGAGATGACGAGGATTTTGTATGGCTTGATCCAGAGGGGGACACGCTCCTGTTCCCAGATGGACTGTGGGAGAGAGCAGGGAATTCCTCAGGGTCCACGTGGTCTCACATGGCTGTGGCTCCCCGGGAAGCCCCACCCTGGCTCACCTGCAGCTGCTTGAGCACCTGGAAGGCCAAGAGCTCCTGGCGCAGGTCATCCCCACACTTGACGATGACAGAGAGGAGGCGCCAGGAGGGCAGGTGTCCGTAGGGAGACCCTTCCCGAATCCTCCTGCAGGGAAAAGGGAAGGATGGGCAGCGAGGCGGCCCAGAGGGGCTCCCTGATCTGGGATTTGGGGCAAGGAAAACTTCTGGCAATGCCTGGGACTGTGAGAACTGCACATCCAGCCCTCTTCAAACCTGACCTGAGCCACGAACCATCCCTGAGCAAGGAATTCCTGAATTCCCCAGCCCCTGTGTCACAACAAGGATGATACCACCCAAAATTCCTAGAGCCTGGGAGCTCTCTCACTTGCTTCGAGAGGCATTTGGGGATTGGACATGTAACAGAGTTTATTCTGGGCCAAGATGAACTCTCCTGACATAAGAGCTGCTTATAAATACCTGGCAAAGTCCCTCCAAGCCTGACCCAGGAGCATCAAATCTGCCATGCATTTTTCCCCCTCCGGCACCAACTGTGCTCCCTGCCCTCTGCCTCCCTGTGTCCCATGCTGGGGACAAGCAGGAACGAAAGTCAAGGCCATGGTTAATTACTGGGTGAATCAGGGAGCAATTTCCTTGGATTTCTGGGATGTACAAGGTCCACTCCCAGCCTTACCTAACTTTCTCCTGCCAGGGCTCCTTCAGGGCAACAGCAGAAGGGTCCTCGGGGTCCCTCCTGAAGGAGGTGGGAGTGTGTGCCAGCTGCTCCGACAGCCGCCGCCTGCAGGAGAGTACAAGTCCTTAGTTTTGTCGAAAGGAGCATCACCACAAGCACCCAGAGCTGCTGTGATCCCCAAACTGACCCCACCAACCCCTCCCCACCCATGCCAACTCCCCTCCATGCCAAAGCCCACCCATGCCAGCCTCACCGGATATCCCCAGCAGCAATGAACACAGGCTCACGACTCTCCTGGCTGGTGATGCTGTCCACAGAGAACTGGGAGATGTTGTCACAGCTGTTGGTGTGGATCTCTGGCAGCTGGGATGGGAAAAGTGGGATGGAGTTGCTACCAAAACGTGATTCCTGCCCATCTTTTATCACAGGAAGGAGCTGGGATGGCACTGCCGCCCTGGAGGGATCCTGGCACATAGATAAACCCTTCCCAGCACCTCACCTCCACCTGCAGCTCCACAATGTCATCCACAGACCAAGCCTCATCATCATTGTCATAGTTGGGGACAGTGGTGAAGCTGCTGGTCCTCTGCTCATGGGTGATCCCACACTCAGGCAGGTTCTCGGCCGAGCGGGTGCTGCGGATGCGATTCTCCGGAATCCGCGCGGGGACATTCGCTGTGTCGAAATTGTCACATTCAAGTACTTCAACATAGATTAAATAGGGAGCCTGGGGGAGAAAAACTGAGTGTGAGCAGGGCACGGCCTCTATAGGAGGCACCAAGATGTTCCCTGCCCTTCCAGGGTCTGTGCTTGTCTTTTTGGCATGCGGTTTTGGGGGGGAAAAAAATCCAGGATTTTTAGTAGATAAGAAACAGGGCACAGGGCTGGACCTTCCAGAGGCTGCTACAGGGCAAGCTCAGAGGATGAAGGCTCTCAGGGATGTTTCTCTCCACCCCCGTTGCCCCACACAGGTCTCCCCCCATCACTAACATCACCAGGTCTCACAGTGACACCTCGTTGCTCCCAGTCCTGGAAGTGACAGCACCAGAGCTTAAGGAGCGTTTGGACAAGGCTCTCCGGCACATGGTGTGATTCTTGGGGTTGTCCTGTGCAGGGCAGGAGTTGGACTCTGTGATCATCATGGATCCTTTACAACTCAGGATATTCCATGATTCTATGATCTCTCCCCATCCATCCCAGTCCTGGAAGCAACCAGCCAACCCTTGAGATGTAGGAAGATGCTCCAAGCACACACACCGAGTACTTCCATCACTTGATGCCCAAACCAGTGCTGTTCCAAGGGCAACATTCATCCTTTGGAGGCAGAAGTGCCAAAAGGGGTACCTTATCCTTGGAGTTGAGGACGACGGCCTGGGTGTGTGGCACGCGCACCACGTGGTGGTCGAAGCCGGCGGTGGGCAGCCAGGCACGCGCCGGCAGCAGGGACAGCTCCGAGATCAGCCGCTGGGTCTTCTGCTCTTTGGTTGGGAGTGTGGCCAAGCGTTTCCCAATGGCGATCAGGGACTTGATGAATTCCCTCTCTGGGGCGAGTCGGACTGGCTAAAAAAGGTTTTGGGAAGGAAGGAGGGTGGCAGAAGAGTGTTATAAAGGCAGCAGTTGGTCCCAATCTGGGATAAACTCCAGATAACAAGGGTCTTCCCATCCACCCTCTTCCCTGCTCTTGGATGATGCCAGAGAGCCAGGCTCATCATCCAGAAGCGGAGCAGGACCAAGCTCATTTTTTCCCCTCGCATCGCACTGCCCAGAAATCTTCCTCCCCAACACTCCAGAGCCGACACTTCTAGCTGGATCTCCCAGGCCCACAGCCAGCAGAGGGGAGCACAGATAGATGGACCCCCACCTTGCTTCTGGGTTCTCAGTGCATCCTCACCCCCAGGCCTCAATTGTGGCTCAATCCAACCATTTGCCAAGGATCAAACTGGGACTTGGAAAGCCCCCTGTATACGGGACCCCCTCCCCACCTTATTCCCAATTCTCCACTTTCTTAAGCTTTCAAATCAGAACAAACGATTGGAGCTGATTTTGCTCGTGAAAATGCAGAATTAAACTGGCAAAGTGCTCACTTGTACAATCATGCTGTAAAATGCACATGCAAAAAGCTATGGAGCAGGAGAAAGGAAGCAAAGGAAAACACTGGAGAGCCAGGAATGGCCCAAGAGCAAAACTAAGGGATGGGAAAAAGAGGGGAAGGATCAGGCTGGTGGTTCCCTTTTGGGAAAGGGCAGGGTAGAAAATCATTTATATCTGTAGTCCACATCAAAAATCCTCACAAAGTCTGGGCTAAGTGCTCTCCTCTCCTGCCCACCTTGCATGGGATAAATATTCCAAAACCCGATGCTCTGTCCCAAGGGGCTGGGAAGTGCCCAGTCCTGGCTGGACCTGCTCTGCCTCAGCTCCTGCCACCCCAGCCCTGTGCTCCAAAACTTCCTCGATCTCTGGAATTGTTTCCCTCAATCCAAGTTCTGCAAAAAGCAGGATCTGCAAGGGATGCTCCACTCCTTCTGACACCTCTTCCAGTCCCCTCTCATGGAATCCTGATGGCTCCTCTCAGGGCCTCCTGCTCTCTGCTTGATCCAGGTTTCCTGTCAATATTGTCCCCAAAACAGCCCCTCATGCCCTCCAAGGTCTCTGCGCAATACTTGTCTCAGCAGAATATTCCAAGAAATTCCCACTGGTGAGAATGTGGGATGTACCCAGGTGCAGGAGCAGATCATGACCAAAGTCCCCCTGGATCAGACCTGCATCAATCTGTGGATTGCAGCACAGGCAGTTTTTAACCCCCTTCTCCAGGGATCCCAAAGCATTTCCTGAAGGATCTTCTCCCCATTCCACAGTGAAGTGATGCCATTCCAACTCCAGGAGCTTCCCAACGCCTCCAGGTCCTGTTCAACTGGAGCGTGAACATTAGAGGTGTGGAAAAACTTCAGGTCTCCTCCAGCCAGAAACATGTGGCTGGGACATGTCCTCCCATCCCAACCTGCTCCAAAGGGAAATCTCCTCCTCCTCCCATCCCAGTGAGTGCTGCTCTGCTCTTCTGGAGGGAAGATTCCAGAGAGGCACTCATAACCAGAAGTATCACATCCAGTTACAGAGGAGCAGCTTTGGGAAACAGAATCAGCTGCACCAGAGCTGTCCCTGGCCTAAGCCATGACAGGAAATGCCATTCCTGAAGAAAACCCAGCATACCAAAGCCCTGGACCATTGATATCCCAATCCCGCATCCAAGTGAAGACAGGAGAATGGGAGATGCTCTTCCCTCATCCCACCACCCCAAGGATCCTTCCATGCTTGGAGCCAGCATCAGTATTTATTTTCACTCTTTTATTCCAGCAAAACATTTCACTTGAAAAAAAAATTCCTTTCTCTCAGTTGGGCAGGGAATTGTGTTTATGTTTTCCTAAGACACCTCCAAGGAGAGTTCTTCTCCTCACCTGGTCTACTTGCAGCTGGGAACTTCTCAGAGTTGGGAACTACTCAGAGGTGGGGAGCAGAGCTACCTGGTCCCTTTCTCTGCCTGCCATGAGGACTCAAGTGTCGGTGCAGATAACAAATACAGGACACATTTGTGGGCGCCGTGAGCCCTGGGTGACAGTGAGCTTGGTGCTGTGGGTGAGGTGATGCCACCACCCTCCAGGGAACTGTGGGGACACCTCGGTGACATCCAGGGATCAAGGACTGACACTGAGTCCCAAAACGCCACTGGAGAAGAGATGTCGCTGCTCAACTTAGCTGGGAGGAGCAGAAATGGGTGGAAATAAAACAACTTACCTAAATTTGGGTGGGAAACTGGGGCTTTGAGCCTGGTGTCCTATATCCCACCCAGCTCCCAGCATCCCACCATCCCTTAAAAACACTGGAATTGGAGGAGATTAAAAAAAATGACAGGATGAGTCTGCATGGGGTGGAATTGTAAAAGCCTTGTGCCCTGTGTCTGTACATGACCATCAATGGTCCCACCTGCCTTCTGCCTCCTGGAACAGTTGTGGGAGAGCGATCCCTCTGAATTCTCAGAGGGATGTAAGCTGGATTTGCATCCAGTCGTTCCTTAAAAAGGCTAAAAAGGTTGGAATTCTCCATAAAAACCCTGTCCCAGAGGACGGGCTTATGTGAGGCATCGCTGCCTGGGTCGGTGGTTTTGATCATGGACTACATATCCCACGTGTGGATTTCCCACTGGGAATCCCAGACAGAGAACACACCCCCACCGGCAGGAAAAGGACACAGACAAGGAAGATGTTATTGATTAAAAATTAAAGAACAATGGGAAAAGCTCATTTCGGACAGAAAAATGCTCTAATTAGGGCAAACATCAGGATTGGATTGGAGGACCAAAGAGCCACACACAGAAATAGGAATAAAACAAATCAATGATTGGTGGAAACGAAGCAAATGAAATCCCATCTGGCAAAGAACTTTTGAAGTCAAATTTCAAGGAAACAGCATTTCCTCTTCCATCTGCAAAGGTCAGCGACCGCTCAGACATGACCCTCCCCTGCTGCTGCCAGGGGCATGAGGGGTTCCCCTTCCCTCCCTGATGGATTCTGGGGAGCAGGAGGAGTTCCTGGGGGGGTTCTACTTGATTTCAGCCAAACTGGTGCAAGAGAATTTGCCCAAAATTCCCTTTCCAAGGGGCTTCGTGTGGGAAACACTGGGATGAAGCTGGCACTGCAGGTGCCAGTGGTGTGTGTGGTGGGGTGGTTTTGGTTTTGGGGAACATTCTGGGGACAGAGGTCCTCGGGAGAGCTGGGGGGAGGGGTCAGTGTGTGGTGGCACAGAGGAAATGCTGCTGTGGGGAAGGCAGACAGCCCCCGGCGCAACAGGAATCACAGGAACCCACCAGCCACTTACGGGACACAGTGACTTAGGGAGACTTTCCGTACTCGAGGAGAGCTCCTGGGAAAGGCAGGAAAAGGGGTTTGGTGGCAGTTTTTAGGGAGTGTTTGTTTCAAAGGAGAGAGAGGAAGGAGGGAGAGGGGGAGAAAAAGCAATAGTTTAGCTCCAGGTTCACAACCATCATTTCCCAATTCATTAGTAGTAGGTTTTGCCCCATCCCATTGGAATTTTGTTTCTTTTTCCTCTTGGAGGGAAAGCAGCAGCTAAACCAGCACATGATGCTTCCAGAAACAATTCCACAGATCTAAACTGGCGGCTCCTCTGGTTATGGTGGTACCAAACAGGAGCAGGACTCAGCAGATCAGCACTAAATCCCCACAAAGCCCCTGCATTTTCCCAGTTTACATCCTTTAGAATCCATTATCCCACCCCTGATACACAGCCTGTAGTTTCTTGGATGCTCATACTGAGATCTGCTCCAAGACCAGCTTCCTCCAGCACCAAAACCACTTGATTTTCCTCCCTTGGACTCCAATTTATTCCCTAATTTCAGCAGATAAAATTAACCCCATGAAAAATCTCCTAAAAATTCCTCAAACCTGACATTATTTATCAGTGGTTTTCATCCAAACCTTTCCTACCACGAGCACATGGACCACATTTCCCTGCACCCACCAAAAACCAACCTTGTGAACCAATCACTCCAAGTGATTTCCATCCCAAACATCACAGAATTCCAGCATCATCACACTTAGAGCCCACAAATCCATGATTTTCATGCCCAACTGTGCTAAGATCCTGGAGGGTCACTAGGAATAAAAGCTCATCTCACCTCTTCTGCTCCTAGGAATAACGTGGGTCAATCCCTCCCCATCACATCCATCAGATGTGGTTTGCCCAGTTCAATTCCCATTAAAATAAACATGGATTTAGGAGCTCATCTTACAGCACCCATCCATCAAATCTCATGGATGATTTGGGATGCTCCTTCTCTGGTTGCTACAAGCCATCGAGCCAGGGCTGGGACCCATCCCTGGTACCTGTTCCTCCAAATCTGTGCCAGGTTGTGATGGTTGAGGGGAGAGTTTTCCAATTCCTCTTGGATTTAGGAGCCAAGTTCACAGTTTTCATTTTCTGCTTATCATCCCACCCTCTGGCTTCATCTCAGTAGCTCCAGACATGTCCCGAGCCTGATCCTCGTAACCTTTCCGTGCTTCCAGCAACATTATTTCCTGGGCAGTGTTGCTCCCCAATTCCCCAGGATAAGGAGGGGCAGGGGCAGGAAAAGATGGAGCAAAGCTTGGCTAATCCCCCCTGCTTCCCCAAGGAGAGGGCTGTAGGACTCCAAGGGCTCTGACATTCCCTGTTTTGCCCATTCCTTGCAGTGTGGCTCTGCTCTGGAGCACAATGGAGCAGCCAGATCCAAGGAAAGGCATTTTTGGGGTCTAGATAAAGCTCATCTGTAACCCCCATCTCTGCAGTGTTTGCTTTGGGATTTAGCAGAGGGACACCTGCCCAAATTCAAAGAGATGATGCAGGGAAGATGGAAAACCTTCCACTCAGCCCCATCCGTGGGATTGTGGCACACCCAACAGCACAGAGAGGGATTCCCTAGAGCCACACTGCAGGAAAACAAGCTCCCCCAGAAAAAAAAACACCTTTCTGGAGGTGCAATTTCAGAGGTAAAATGACAATGCTCTCCACATCCCCCTGGAAAAGGCAGAGTTGGGACATGGGTGAAAAGCTGAAGGTTCAGGGTCAGACGTGTTGAGCAACCTGAAATAAAAGCAACTTCCAAATCCAGAGGTTTTCCGCCAGCACAAACGGTCCAGAATGCGAACCCATAGGGAAACACTTTTCCCAGAATAACACTGATATTGCTGTTCAATTAAAAATAAGCCCGTGCATGGGAAGCTCATGGAAGTTTTTCTCTTCCTCCTCCCGGGATGGCCCCAAGTTCACCGCGAGGCGCTGCAAAGTCCAGCGCTCCCCTCCCAGCGTTCCCTTCCCGTTTCCAGTGCCGCCTTCCTGGCAGCCAGCCCAGATTCTTAACTGATTATCCAATTAGGAGTTTTCTAATTAACACTTTTGTTACATGACCGGTAGAACCAGTTCAGCCAAACAACTCCAGAGTTTGCCTGGCTTTCTCCACCATCAGCCCACTTTTCTATTCCCTAAAGTTTCAGGCTCACACTAAAAAAATATTAAGTTTTAGTCCAACTGATGGAAAAAAGAAGGAACAAAACTGTTTTCCCCTCCCTGCTCTGCACATTTTGAACCTTGATCTTAGGTCCCGAGGGATCAGACTGGAATCACTCCTTTCCAGGCAGTCAGGGTGGTTTATTCTTCCCACCTCTGTTTCTGGAATTACAATGCTGGTGGGATATGGAGCAGGAAGCATCCTCCCAGTCTCATCCAGGTGCAAGGTGTCACCTCTAATATCCAAACTGGAACTCCAGGACTTGCCACCATGATCCAGACTTCTCAGCTCCGCCAACACTGCCACGCTGGCAGGGACGCCAAGTCAAATCCAGAGATAAAGGGCTGAATTCCAGTGCCTGAGGCTTGCCAAATGGGATACTGGGAGAGAAACAGCTCCCAGCCAGCCTCAGTTTTACCTGGAGTCATGAGGTTTCATCTCTGAGAGGGAGCACAGGCTGTCTGTGGCCCAGGGCAACACCTGACAGCAAATCCTCGGGGTTTTGGGGGAGGAATCACCAAAAACCAACCAACCACAGCCAGTTAAGCCTGAATTTTGTGGATTTAAGTAAAATGAAGATGAGACGGGAAAACAACTTCCTCTGCCCCATGTTCAGCTCTGCAAGTACCTTGAGGTCACCTTGAGGTGTTTCTCGGCCAAGCCCCAAGTGATTTTACTCAAGTTCAGCAACTGCTCTGCCCTTTTTCCAGGTTGTGTTGGCTTGGGGGATTTTTTTCCCCTGATTTTGTTTCCAGGGAAATGCCTGCAGCCCTGCCAGACCCCAGGGAGCTGGACATGCTGTGCCACCCCAGGCAGCTGCCCCCAAGGAGGGCTCTCCCCACCAAATTCTGGCTTAGCAGCAGGACAAGCCATGGACAACAAAGGACCTGTCACAGAGGTTTAACCTATCCATGCATCTGCAGGACAGGGATCCAGGATGTGGATCTCTGGAATCCACAGAGGACAGAGCACCTGAATACCCAACCACGCCACCTCAGATGAAACACTTATCCTTGCTCCTGTGGCTTCCAAGGGAGCATCAGGTTCCAGCATGTTCCTCCCCTCTGGGTCTCAGGTTGCTCAGGTGGACAATCCAATGTGGAACAGCTCCAGCATGTTTAATCCACCTGTTGTCTGTCCATGGATCAGAGCCTGGGACGCACCTGGATGCTGGCAAAGCACAACCCTGGAAACCCGTGCTGGGAGAAAGACTGAGCCCATCCACCTGGAACCAGAGGGACACTCGAGTTCGGAGCTTAGGGCTTTTCCTTTTAATTTTACTCATGGAAAAATAACAAAGAGAAAATAAATTTATCCCATAGAAGTGTATCATGAAATCCTGTCACGGACAGGGAATCCACGGAGGATTTAAAACCTACAGCACTTGAGAGAAAATCTTTCCTGGCTGTTATTAGGTGATGAAGTGGTACCTGTAATACAAGGACCTCAGTGGGATGAATTATTCCCTGAAAACCAAGTGCCATAGGTCCAGGTGATCATGGGAAAGGACAGATTCCCTCCCTGCTCCGATTCCTCCTCTAAAACCTGCACGGATTTTTGTGAAATACATTAACACCTGCTCTGGGTCAAACTCTGGCAATCCAGGCAGGTCCCAGGGGCCCTGGCAGGGACAGAGGCACCTTTAGGAGCCTAAAACCAGGGAGGACCTGGCATTGTGCTTCCAGGATGATGTGCACTATCGGGAAAGGTGCAGAGGAGAAGAAAACTCCCAGAGGCCTCGAATAGGTGACAACAGGAAGTGCAGAAGAGGTCATGAGTGGTCAAGGAGCGATTGATAGGAGAAGGGAAAATTTATCAGTGGAGAGAAGACTGATGGGAAAACAACCCAGCCAGACACAGGCCTCTGCAGGTTTCCTGGACCAAACAACCTGTAGACCAAAGTAGCAAATTCCAGACTTTACTGGAATTTACACCAGGTCTTTCCAGTCCTCCCCTAGCTGATCAGCTCCAGGGAAACTGCTTTTTGCAGGGGATTGCTGGTTTCAAGCAGGGAGCAAAAACATTCAGCACTAAAACAATACAGGTCCAGGAAGCTGGTGGTGGATACTGGAAGTCCAGGGAAGTTCTTACGCTATCTCAAGTATCCCTGGTTTTGTGCAACATTTAAACAGCTTTCCCAGCCTCTGGATCATCTCAAACATTGCCAGGGGAAACTCTGCTTTCATCCATCATTTATGGAAAGCTTCAGTTTCCAGGATTGAAGCACCTGCAGCCACTGTGAGTAGAAACTCCATGTCCCTCTCTCTAGCAGCCGCTGGTTTTCCACATCAAAGATTCATTTACCCATCGGCACACGACCCCAGAATGCAGCTGGATTTTTCCAAGGGGTGAGACAGGGTGGTTCTAACTTGAAACCAGCCTGGAAACTGCTGCTTCACACCTCCAAAACTTCCTTCCATTCTTATCCCAAAAAGCCTTCCCCAAGTCTGGCACACAGGCAGGAGCCCATGTGGCTCCTTCCACTGATTTACAGCCCAGCGTGGAGCTGAGGAAAAAGGAATCTCAGGCAAGACAGGAAAGCCAAGGAACTTTCCACTGTTCCAAAAATAGTCACGGGATGCTGGATGTCTAAACGGAGCCACAGGGAAGTCGACTTTCCAGGTCTCATCCACACCAGGCACAAGGATGCCCCAGGGAAGGAGCTGTGAGTGCCAGGGACTGGCTGCAGGATTCTTGGTGGGACCAAACAGTTGGTGCTGTGGTTTTACAATCCATTTCCCAGCCATCCCCACTGAAAAGGTGGGAAGGATTCTAACTTCTGGAGGCATCACTTCTCCCTGATTTGGGAAGCACTGCTCATAAAATCTGCATTTAGTACCAGCTCGTCTCCTCTGGGCCCCTCTCCCACTTGGAATTCCCATCCCAGCCCCATGTTTCCCACCATCCCAGGCTGGCGAGAACCATCAGCCCATCCAAAACAGCAGCAAAATGAACAAATCTACACTTATGGCTCTTTTCCCTCAGCTCTGCATCCCCACTACCACAGCTGTGGCTCATCCTTTTGCTCCCTAAGTTTCTGTGTCAGCAGAAAGGAATAATCTGTTTTTGGGGGAACACATCCCACTCAAACTCCAATCCAACTCTCTGGCAACAGCACATGGAGCAGCTCAGCCCCAAAACCAAAGATACTTTGTGCCACTGACTTTACAACACTTCAAAATGAAGCCCAGGGGAGGCATTTCGGATTGGAAACAGGTGAGGTGGGAATGCCATTTCCTTTGACATTAAACCACTCAGCACCCAGCCCTGCAAGCTGGAACTATCCCCTCCACACAGCTCAGCCATTCCAGCAGGGAAAGCCTGGCTTCCCACTGGCTTGGAGTTGTGGAATGAAGCCAGGAATGCAAAGTAAAGCTTGGCACAGGGCAGCGGCCCCCAGACGCCCCTGGAACAGCTCTGGGTGGGCTCCATGGTGCAGGGATGTCAGAGACAATGGGATTCTCCTCCTGCGCCCACCTCCCCAAAGCCTTTTCTGCCCGAGAATAAACCTCAGCATTGCTCAATCGGAACAAGTCAGGACAAGGAGGAAATCAGATTTCCAACAGTCACCAGCTGGCTGCAGATTGCAAAATGAGAGACACGAGCTGAGCTGCCCAAAACCTGTGGGAATCCAATAACTCAGCCCTCCTGATGCCATCTAATGCCCTCCCTTCCCAACACAACAGGCAAATCCCCCTCTGGAGCCCTGGCACCCCTGAGGGGGAGCCACAGGTGTGTGTCACTTTGCACAGACACGGGAATCAAAATTCCAACCATTTGCAACAACCAGGACCAAAAAAATTAACTCTCTGTGGTCAAGGAGGGGCTCTGAGATGAGACCCAATGGCACTAGCACAGCCCTGGAGCTCCCCTTCCCGACAAGCTCAGCCTTGGAGCATCTCAACATTACCTCCTCCTCGCTTTCCACCTTGGGATTGCTGGCTGTGCGCTTCAGATTGCTGCTCATGCTGATGGAAACGGTGGCATCTGATTTGGACCTCTGGTGAGTCCTTTTGGAAGGAGACAGCCCCGTGTCGGGCACGGGGTTCAGCGACGGCAGCTCCCTCTTCTTGTATGCTGGTTTCAACTCATCGGAGAGGATGAGCTTCCGCAGCTTGGTCCCACGGGAGTGTCGCTGGGTGGAGATGTGCATGTCTGAGGAGTAGGCACCCAGGAGAAGGGCACACTGCAGGGAGAAGTTGATGCTCTGCCGGCAGCGGTGCACGATGTAGGGCTTGATGGCATCTCCCACATCCTCGTCCATGTGGATGTACATGTTCAGCAGCTGCGGCAGGTAAAAGTCCACCTCCTCATTCCTAAAGCAGAACAACCTGTTCCCAATGTAAGCCTGCACGCCAGGTTCCTTGGAATTGTACAGGTATGAAATGGCCATGGAGATATCAAAGAGTTTGGATTCGAAGAGCCGCAGGAGCCACGACTGCTTGGCAGAGTTGTTCTTCTGCCGCTTCCGCGCTGTCTTCACCGTGTTGGCCGCGGTCTCATCCTCCTCCTGGATCCTCGTGGCTGTGCCAGGTGGATCGTCCAAGCACCTGATTTCACAGCCATCCCCAATGTCTCCGTTGGCCAAATCCACCGTGGTGCCCTGTGGGATGTGCTCGCTGCCGTCGGTTGGTTTCGGAAAGCTGTCAGAGGAGACACCATGCATCAGCTTGACCTTCTCCAGGACCTCCTCACAGGCTTTCTTGGCCACCTCAGGGTCAATGACCGCCAGCTCCCCAACACCTTCTGTGATGACACTGAGGGATGTCCCCCCATTCCCTTGAGGCACCTGCTCCAAGCCTGTCCCTCGGGACGGGTCTGCGACAGAGTCTCCCATAGCAGTGCTGGGTCTGCACAACTCAAAGCTGGAAAGAAAACAAGATAAGAGAGTCAAGGATGCAACCTGTGGAGCAGAAACTGGAATCTGAGCTGGGATACACCTGAAGGGAAGGTGAGATAAGATGAAACCTTCTCAAAAAGCCTTTGGCTAGAAGGAAGGTGTCCCAAGCCAATGCAACGCCACACAGGCCACATTGCGTTTTCAAGGTCTTCTCACTCCTGCTTCTTTAAAGAGCTGTGAGCATCCATCAGGCATCACACAAAATTTCCTGTTACCATGACAATAAAAAAAACAACTGAGGAAGCCAAAAAGAGAAAGAAAAACAAAGAAATAACCAGGTTGCTTCATGCTCTCCATCCCAATGGGATTTGCTTGAGATTGGAGGGCTGCAGGCTGCGTGCACCCACCCAAAAGATGGATTTTCACCCCTGTGCTCGGTTTTTGATCATTTAACCTCCTTTTGGGGCAAGAAGATCCCTGTGTCCCAGGTCCAGACACTCCTGCCCACCTGATGCCTCCTCACCAGTAATGAGCACTTAATTTTTTATTAAGAAGTGGATAAACGAGGGACTTAACACACTTCCCAGTTTTCCATCCCGATAAAAAGAGCAGCGGTGCAGCTCTATGGACAACCAAGCAGGATAAAGCAGAGCAGTGCTGAGTGAAACTATCCTCCAAAGACAAGCTCAGGGATTCTGCTCAATCCAACGACATTGCAGCAGCTCCAGCCTCTTCTCTGCAATGCCCTGATGCTACGAGGCTGCCCATAATCAGCAGAAGGGCACAAAGCCTTTTCCAAACGGGAAGCAGACTGCCGATTCCCTCCTGCCTTCTTATCCAGCACAGTGGAAAAAACACCTGGGTTTGGGAAAGAAGTTCACTGACCTATTTCTTGTCCTCCCATGACCCTCAAGCCCCTCACACATTCCTGCAAGCCCATTTTTCCTGTTAATTTAACAACCTTGTTTGATCTGTTTATTTTTACAAGCATTCACAGCTCCCAACACCAGAGAAAGGGATGAAGAAACCCACAGGATTTCTTCCTAAACATTCCTAGTGAGTAAAACTGAGGTCAGCTCCCAGAGACCAGTTTTCCTCTTGTTTTCCAAGCACTCAAGCCCTAACTCCAAGGTAACAAATGCCTGACCAAAGTTCAGTGGATTAATAGCATCTTTCACTCCCTCCACACACAGTTTTCCTGCCATTCCCATCGGGACAAATCCCACATGCCTCAAATATTTGCAGTTCTTAGATCCCAAAGACCCTGTGAGCTGAGGGAAGTTGGTTTTCCTTTTCAGTAAGTTCAGCTTTGCCCACGAAAAAATCCAGATCTGATTTTTAAATTAACCCAGAAAAGGAGCTCCTTTGGTGTAACTCAGGACAGGGAGAAGCAACAGAGCGGAGCTGGATCCACAGAATAGTCACACAGAGCTCTGCCAGTATTTCTGGGGTCCTTAAATGTTCACAGAGAGACAACTGGGATGACAAACCAATGACAAATTGAAATATTTAGTGGTGGAATCCATGTGGCTCCATGGCTACACACTGGGTGCAAAGGAGCTGTGATTCTGGGTGGTTTGGTCACCCAGAGAGTTTTCCAGGCCCAGAGTGGTTCATCCAAAGCAGGGAAATGCTTTTACATCCCCCTTGCTGGGCTGCAGAAGTGGAAAAATTGCACTGCATCCCATTAAATCCCCTAAAAACAGGAAGCATGATAGGCATACTGCAATTCCAGGTGTTAAACCTCCTCAGGGTCTTTGGGAGAAGCCAGATCTGGCCTGCCCTACTCACGCCACATATCCTCATGTCTCCACGGCGCAGTTCCCATGCACAGCTGCTCTCACTCCAGCCCAAACTCCTGGATCCTGCCTCCACCTCCGCCCAGCCCGGAGGAGTTCTGTGTGCCAGCAAGGAGCTGACTGGAGCTCAACTGCTGAGTGGGTTAAACTTGGATTAAGAACTGCTCAGGATAAATCCACCCCCGGGCCTGGGGGTTACCTCCATGCAAATCCCCACATTCCTGGTTTTTGGGTTAAATCAATGCACTGCAGGTTTGAGTTACTATTTTGCTCTTCATCCCCATCCCTCCTACAGCCACTGCCTTCCGTGACATCCCGATTCAGAGTCCACCAAGGACACATCTCCACTCCTAAAATCCCAGGGAGAGGATTCACCCCTCGCCTTCTGTGCCTCTCTGCATTTTCCCATGATTCACATCCTCATTTGTCACACACATCTATTTACCTCTGGAGGCTCAGCATTGCTCCCCTATCCTAAATCTCTGGTCTCCACAGGGATAAAAACCCCACCAGCTGCTCACAGTGGAGCAATCCAGGCTGGAAAACAGGCTGAGCTGAATTAACGTGGCTCATCCTCCACCCACATCTAATAGGGGCCAAGTTTCTCTGGTGGAACAGCCCTGAAGTCAGGGATTAAATCCCAAATCAAGAAAAGCTCTCACTAAAAACTCGCCATGGAGCAGCGGAGTGCTGGTGTGGCAATTCAGGAACGTGGTTCCTTCGGGAAGGGACAAAAGGAGCGGGAGATCCACATGAACAGAGCTGTGGCTTTACAGGGAACGAAAAACAAGGGAAAAGCCTCACTCCGCCTGACTGGAATAAGAACAATCAGCCCTGGCCAGCAACCAGGCCGAGGCCTCCCCACATCTGGTCTCCATTACTTTTTGTTTTACTCAGTACCGAGAGCCTTTGACATGTTGCTGAGCCTCCAGGAAGGCTGGGTAGGGATGGGATAGGGGCAGAAAACATCTGGAGGCTGGAGCAGGGTGTGCTCCAGTGCTCTGCCTAGGAAGAAACCAGCACTTAGGGAAGAGCCCCTGCCCCTACCAGTGTCCCTTCAGACCTGCTGCAGCCACAACGACTCCACAAAACTCTCAGGTGACAGTTAGAGGTCGGGGAAACTGAGGCACAAAGTGACTATGACTGACACCACACACGTCAGGGAGCACCACGGACAAGTATGCCTCCTGGGGACTCTGTGTCCTTTTCCAAGCCCTTCCATGAGAGACCTGGCACCACCACGGAGGGTCTCCCACCAGCTTTTCACAGTTGGCTCAGGCATTATTGGAGTAAAGTATTATCGGAATAAGCTAAAAGCCATGTTGCAAGAACAGGAGAAGGAACTACACAGGGTGTTCAACACTCTTCAGCCAAGGAGACATCCTTAATTCCCTGCTCCAAATGTCCACAGCAAACTAGTAATAGTTTTAATAATTAACTACTAATAACTTTAATAATTAATAAGCTGTTCTGGTCCCACACTGCTGAGGAGACTGGGAAGAGGGGAAGCCACAGCCTGCTAGTCCCAGCACTTCCTTCGTTCCTTCGTCCTCCTCCACCCCATGGGAAGGAGGCAAATCCAGAGATTTACATAGAAATTAACTTCCCTATTTGAAAAATTAATAATTGTGGGCGCACTCAAGCCTCTCTCACCTCTGAGACATGCTGGGAAGTGTCCCAGACTTTTGGAAAAGGGGTGGATTCAGCAAGGAAGCCCTTTCCAAACCCACCCCAGCACAGCTCATCCCGCATGTTACTCACACAAACATATCCAGCCTCTTCCCATTTCCCTGACATTAATTATGATCTCCGAGCAGGCAAAGACAAACCCTTCCATCCCAGCAACCTGTTCCCAAGCACTCCAAACCCTGAAGCAATCCGTGCACAGCCACCACGGGAAGTTTCCTCCTCCCATGGATCACAAGGTAACACATTCCCAAACTTGTTTATGTAAATTCCATATTTCAAGGTGCTCCTGCTTCCCACAGCTGTGTCCAAATCCTTCTCCAAAGCCTGACTGGAAATAAGCTGGATAAAGGCAGGAGCCACATTTCTGCTTGGATGCCAAGGGCAGCTCTCCTGCTGATCCAAGCATGAACCCTGAACTGTGTGGTGACCAATCCCCTGGATTTCAAAAGCCTTAACCCCCTGGGATTTCAGGAGCACAGACCAAAATCCCACTCAGAACTCCAGGTAAGAAGTCAGGAACTATCATCTCCCCTTAGCAGAAACTGAGCCCCAGTCCCAGGGCTGACTCTACAGGATGCCTTGGGATCCACACGAGTCCAAGGATGACACCAGTTCACATATCAAGAGATGGAAGTCCTCAAGGGGAGTTCAAAACCTCAGAGGTGTCGGACACTCTCTGCTCTTCCACCTGGTGCTGGAAAAAGAGCTGGAAATCAGCACTTCCAGCCAAATCTGTGCCCAGTTACTTCCCAATGGGTTACAGGGAAGTAGAGGAAAGAGAAGGGTGGAATGAAATATTGCTATTTTTCACTATGAAAGTTCAAATCGAGCCAGGGCCAACGTTTTAAGGGGAAACTAGCTCCGAGGGGTGTCTGACCCACCCCTTACGTAACATCCCTGGCCTCTAAGTCGGTATTTCAGGCAATTACCAAGCTCAAGGGGCACCAGATGGCCTGCGGGGAGGGTTGGCAAAGCCTAATCAGCAGCGACAACGTGACGGCACCGGGGAAAAAGCAGCTGAAAATGCCTCCGGATGGCTCATTATGACACTTCTCCAGGAGGTTCATCCGTGAACACCGTCGGGGCGGTCACGGTTTTGGGGCAGCACCGAGGCCGGAGAGGCTGGAGTGGTCCCCGCGGGGGCTGGGGGGGTTATCCCGCGTTCCACGGCGGTACAGGGACAGGGACCGGGAGGAGGTACCTGGCGCAATCGCATCCCGCACGGCTCCGCTCGGCGATCCCCGCAC